AATTTTGCAATATATTTCCAGTGAACACTCATAATAGACTAATTTTTGTATTTGGCTGCATTGAAACTTAAGACGTACGATTTTTTGCGAGTAAACCCTAACTCTGAAGATTTTAAGAGCATTATTGTTGCTTCACATGTTTTCTTTCGTAAGTTGCGTGTATTTTTTTGCTACTCTGAAAGAAAAAATTACGACTAATATTACAGATAATACAAATATTTTAATACTCATCAGCGAAAGTTTATCAAAGAGCCCTCGCATTTTATATAATATGCGGTAATGTATAACGCATTGCAAACTTTCATATACGAGTAGTTCCTACTTAGGATGAACTCAAATTATTTCCTATACTTTTCTGAGTTCCTGTGTTATTTTATTAATAATTTTTTTTTTTAAATTTGTCACGCTACTATGAAAAATAAAACATTGTTTTTTTTTAGTTAAAATTTTTATAATCTTTTTAATAAATTTGTGACGTAAATTCAATCTGCGTTCTCATTTATCAAAACTCTGACTTTGTTGACAGTACAAAAGTTAAAAATTTGTTCCTTCATCTTTCGAGGCGAATATCTTTTTTATATACAGAAATTATAAAGTTTTTTAACATAAAACTGTGAAAAACTTTGTTCAAACTCAGAGGAATTTTATTTTTGTAAAAATGTGTTTCTTTTTTTTAAATAATATTAATTAAATTTTTAGTGTTTAAAATTTATGGACAATAAATAACTGATTGAATAAAGTTTATAAACATTTGCAAAAACTATAAAGTGCATTATGGCATCCAAATTGCCTTAAATTACTTGACTTTAAAAAAGTTGGTTTAAAACTTATACAGTGAACGCCCTCTCAAGCAAACAACGATAAGATCAGTAAAGATCTTAAAGCTCTGTGTAAAGTGAGCTGTCGGTTCATTGGAATCTACTTTGTATTAAAAATGAAAACTAGGGACTAGTGACGACGTTGCAAGGTTGAGAGTCCGTCTAATGGAATGGAGTTTTCACTGTACAATAAATTACGTGAAGTACAATTGTACTCAAGCTGGAGACGTTGTATAAATTTTGTAATATTAATTCCATAATTTAAAGATTTGTGATTTGTGATTTATCAGTAAACAAGTTTTTATTTATGTGTGGCAAATTTTTGTTTAAAAATCAAAAAAGTTTATTATACACTTTTTGTTGTCTTTAATTATCACTTCAAAGAAAAAACCTTCAGAAATAATACTAAAAAAAAAAATAAGAAAAAAAACTGCAGCCGAAATCCCTCGGTGTGGTCCCTCATAAACTAATTTTGCTGATCTTTGATGACTTTGAGATAGATTTGAAATTTTTTAAAATTTTGGTCCACTTTTCTTAAGACTTGTGCCAAATTATTTGACTGAGCCTCAAAATTGTGATGAATCAGTTAAATGTGAAAAAATAAACTTAAATTATTTTCTGTGGAATTTTTTTTCGTATGATTTCTAAAATTTACGAACCAAAACAAGCCGTATAATCTGTGAAAGAATACATTAAATCTATACATTAAATCTATAAAAATGTTTTTCTCCTGTTATTTTTTTTTTTTTAATATGAAATTAATTTATTTAGAAATCGAAATATGTTATATAGGCTTAATAAGACAGTGAAATGTGTATATTGATAAAGTATATCATAATATATTATATTAAAATATGTTTCATATATGTTTCTGCTATGTTGTGATCCAAGAATGAAAACTGAAGAAATCGCTAAGTCAAAAAAGCCGCAATATTTCAAAGACAACTAATATATATTCGAAAAACTTAAACCAATAGTCCTATACGTCGTTATAATTAAATGTGTCCGGAAATTGTAATAGTTCAATATAGATTTATTTTTTTTCAAAATTTTTAAACTTTACAATAATCCAACTCATAGTATTTATAGTGTTTTTTTTTATTCACTATTATTATTATTTTGTGAAATTTCTTACAAAATCACTTCTCATCTATTATGCACCTTTTTTTTTTTTAATAATTATCCTTTGATGCGAGCTATCCAATGGTTTTTTCCAGCTGTTTCGTTATTTTTGTTGTAATAACAAAAGGTAATTTCTCTATTATTGAGGGAGCCAAGTTTTTTTTTCGCATTTGTTTTGCCAATGGTTCCCATCGACGGTAATGGTTCCCATCGATTTATCGATTCTATAAATTCTAGAATCAATTTTCAACACTTGGTTTAACTAATAACTATGTCTAATAATTCTAACTCATTGTTTTTGATAATTAAATATAACGTCAGCAAATTGAAATTATTTGAAGTCTTTAATAATAATAGATTATTGGCATCTTATGCGTCATATTCTAGAATCTAGATCACCATCATTTGGCTCACAATAAAATTTATTTGTGATAAGCCCGTTTTTTTTTTAATTCTATGAGTAATGTCGGAAACATCAAAACAACATTATATATTATCTATATCACATATATATATATATATTGTATATATTGTATATATTATATATATTATATATATTTTGTACATATTAAATATATTTTAATTTTAAGTTTAATGGCTTATTTATTTGTATTACGTGGCCTTTGTGCTGTTAATTAATGCTTTGATATTTGCATATTTCAATATATATAATTGCATTCACTATTTAAGTAATAGTGATTAAGGCTATAGTATAATGTTTCAGAAAATATTTAATTTTTTATAACAAAGTATTGGTAGGTTGCTGAATAAATTTGCGGAGAAGCATCTAACGATCAATAGTTACACTTAACTTTTCTATTAGTCAAAGTTTGGCAATCAGAGAGAAAATATATAATTTTTTTTTTCTCTCTGCGTGAAAAACTAAGAAAATTATTAAAAGATTAATAGATAGCTTTCATCTAACAGAATGCACAAGGGATGATGCCTCATTAATTGCAAGACAAGATGTTGTCTATAATATCTAAAACATTTTAAAAAGTATACAAAGGAAATTGTGTACACAGTTTCATCGCTAAATATTAAATTGTGATATACCAAAATGATTCCGAATTAACACAATAAGAGCGGTATCAACGTGACTTTTCGGAAACAAAGCTTGTTTGTGTTTTGATATCGGCTTGAAAAGTGTTCCCACCAATTTTTTAACTTCAAACTAATAAAAAAATATTCACAGATTATTATTCCAAATTTTCAAATCAATTGGATGCAATAGTTGGTGAAACAAATTCCGGTCTATAGAAAAGAGAATAATGTTTCCATCAACAGCTGTGATCTAAAGTACTGAATATAAAATATTTAAATTTTTAATATTTTGGGTACTGAATCTGGGTTCCGGTGAGCTAAACATCGGTTACAGTACAAATTGTTGCAACAACCAAAATATTTACCAGATTTTACTCTATCTAAACTCAGAGGTTTTTTCACACCTTAAAAAGTAATCCGATGAAGTTATTTACATTAAACAAAGAGTTACTACTTGCTATATACATAAATCTATATAATAGAGACTTAAATAAATAAAACCATTAAAGAAAGAGAGGTAATCCACAAATTGGGGGAGATTGTTGTGATAAGTGTATGGGAACTAAGTAAGATTACAGTTGGTTGGTTTTAATGGCGGTAGTGCTTCTGCGTTTTCCCAAGTAGTGTATAGCCGCCGTTTTATTATCATATCGCCGGTCATCAAATTCTAAGTTTAAAAACCAATTTGTGCGGTTGATGAAGATCATTTTTAGAAAATTCATTGTTGGAATGTATACCAAGCTCACTAACTCATTGATTTTGTTAGTAATATCTAATGAAGTTTTACCAGACCTCCTAAGCATTTGCAAAGAAAGTTAAACGTAGATCTAAAATGAAGCACATTAAAGAGTGCGAAGTTATTGACTAATGGGGAATGATAGGGAGAGTAAAATATGCAGGAGTAAAGGAGTACGAATGAAGATACAGGTAGAAATGTTGAATCTAACCTAGGTTCAGGTGAAGAAATCCTGCCACCTTGATGGGTCAGAGTCAGAAAACAATAGGGCTTAAATTTGTGTGTGCAGATAGATGATTTCATGTGGAGTAGACAGCTCTACTCACTGCAGTCCGTGTGGGTATACATTGGCAAGCGACGTGCTTATGCGTGAAGAGTAACTGAATATAGTAAATGGCTATATCCTGAAATAAATTATACGAGTAAAGTTCAGGTTGCAAAAAAGTGTTTAATTGTTTTTTCTTCCTTTGTTTGTTACAGTTGCTGCATTTTTGTTTGAAAGGAGTACCCAATTTTTCGGCATAGGTGTTCGCTAGGTGGACTGGGAGACAGATTATAGTGAAAAATAAAAATCAATTCTCATTTACATTCCGTGAACTTATTTATAATTTTAAAATTATTTGATCAACTTAGCACAAGGAAATTATATTCGGGTAGCAAATTTTTAACTCTTTCGCTCGCGTTATCATTGAAGTAATATCTTTCATCAACGATGGCAGTAGTTCATACTAGATTTTGGGACAATTGGCAATCTTTCGCTGTTTATTTATTTAATAAAATATTAATAAAATATTAATAAAATATTATTAATTAATAAAAAGTTAAATGATTTACTAATTAAACAACTTGAAGACTTGTAGTCTACACTTGTAGTCGAACACAACGACAAAAGAAACTTCTGAATGAAACTAAAAACAAGTTTAATAAGCAAAAACTTTTAAAAAAGTTTTAATTTTATTATTTGCAAATATAAAAGAAATAATGGAATCACAAAAAAAGTACCTCAAATCTTATCGCATTCATGTTTTTAATCTTATCACTTTGCAACAGTTGTGTTTCGTATTGCCTTTAAGTGTTTTTATTATAATTTTTCATTGTGTATTAAGCTTTATCGTTTTAGTTCAAATTATAATTACAAAAATCGGCTAAAAGCGAATCTTTAAACTTGAAGTGTTTGTTCACTGTTACTTTGAGTTGATAAATTATATCCAAAAAAAATTCATGTTTTTTCCTATACGAATAAATATTTATACTAAATCTATTTTTTATTTTACTTGCAGTAAAATCAATATTTTTCGCAATTTGCTTTAAAGTGCTAAGCGAAATAAACGTAAATTAATAGACAAATATCAAGCGCGTCCCACCTTAGGGCACGCTTCTATAGACGCCACCACCACGCGTCGCCCACGTTCCAGATCACACATAACTTTATCAACACTTACATTATTAAAATTACTGCAATAAGGAACAAACAGACGACGAATGGCTGATGGAAATGCGTTAGCGGCAGCTTCCGGTGGACTTGCCGCTGCTGATTACAACACAACAACAAACAGCGGTGCAGCGGTTCATAATACAGTTACTGGCAGTGGCGGTGCTGTTAGTCATGGCTCGAGCATATCAAGTTCGAGTCCAAATCAGAATTATCATCAATTGAGTGTGACAAGTGAGTAAGCAAAACAGTTTCATTTATAGCCACCGTACATTTCCAGTCGTTCCCGTTCCCGTTCCCATTGTTGTGGTTAATAAAATGTATATATGGTATGCGAGTATACATATGTGTACGAGTATACTTACATATAGATACGTGTACATTTAGTACTCATATATACATTCATATGTACTTCTTGCTACATGTGAATGGGTTGGGTACATTTGTTGCATGCATAAATCTATATCATTTCTAACAACAATTTCGTAAGAGAAACGTGTAAATAAGTACTTCGTATATTGTGCGTGGCATTGATTTACTTTAATTTGATTTGATAGCAAAGTACTTCCCACTCCTCCTTGTTGGGCACATCTCATTTCATGTCTTTTTAAATTTTAGTTGAGGAAGCGTCAATGCGGAATAATGGCTTCTTGAAACCAAATCCATATGTCGAACTACTAATCGATAATAAGAGCAAACGTAAAACAGAGGTGGTCAAAAATAGCTACTTGCCAAAATGGAACGAGGAATTCACCGTACTGGTATGTTAATGTTATAATTTAAATAAAATTTAACTTAAATTTGTAATTCGATATTATATTCGTAAAGAAAAACAAACAAACATATTTCAATTATAGTATATTTCACTTAATTAGTATATTACATTGCATCAATTAATTTCATATTTAATAATGAATAATTTAAAGAATACCATATTTGCAATAAATACACTATGCCCCAGAAACGGTAAGAGTTATTGTCATTATTTAAAATAGCCATTCAGTTTTGCGAAAAGACATTAAGATCCGAATGTTCTCGGAATCATTTCCCTACAATGTCAATTTCGTATTGAGGTATAAATCTGGTGTTTTTTTTTTCTGTTGGGGGTAGGTAGTAAGCGACATTTAATAATCGTCTGAAAAGACGAGTAGTTCCGGTGGTTCCAAGAACGTTCGGGTCTACGTCCCGATGCCACTCGTCACCTACGACGACCAAGTACCGTTCAACACCTCCCAAAAGGATTTCACAAGCAGGTCCCGGCGGACAACAACAACAAGCACAACAACAACAAAAACAACAACAACAAAAACAACAACAACAACAACAACAGTAACAACAACAACAACAACAACAACAACAACAACAACAACAACAACAACGACAACATCAACAGTACTTCCGGTAGCCATTTCTTCTGGAAGATCTGGTAGTTTCTTTTTTTATTAAAACAGACAAATGGTACGTGGTCGTCTGAAAAGTTGATTAGTTCCGGGCAGAAACTATTTATTATACAATTTTTGTTTAGGGTATAGCTATAAAAGTTTCGTAGCCTTTTTTCTGTTGAGAGGGACGAATAATACTTAATCATTTGCAAAGACAAGTAGATCTAGATCCTTTTATTCTTGATTTCTATTTTGGATATAGCTATATAGATCTGCTAGTTTTTTCTCCACTTAGAAGAGACATGTAATATTTGATCGTATGAAAAGTCAACTAGCTTTGGAAAAGTAGATCCTGCTGCTTCTTGTAACCATTTTTTTTTATTGTCAATTTCTATTTGGAAAATAGTCAAAAGTCGCACCAATACACCGAATATTGTGGAATGTTCGTTTGAAATTATTTCTTGGTTAAGTATTCACTTACGATAATGTCTTTGTGCGATGGTACATTAGCATGTAACTAAAACCAACTGCTTACCTAACGATATTCTGATCATACTTATTGAATTTTGATCTACAATCGTTGTAGAACTCATGGATAATAACTTTCACGTTCGTTGTCTAACTTTTTGGGCCTCTGAGAGGAGTTTCATTTCAACATTGTTTTGATTTTCTTCTTCAGATAGTATAATTATATCACTTTTCGCTCTTATGGTACTTTTGATTTTCATGTCGCACACTGACATTTAATTTTTTATAGTATTTATTTTAGAAATTAGATGAAAGGAAATATTAGATAATATATTAACTTTAGTAGCTTGTGGAAAAATTTCACGACATTTTGTTCGGAGATTATATGGCATTTTAAGCCTATCTTAAATCTGTGATAAAGGCACAGCTAAAAAATGTGTGAATTTCGCTATATATACGAGATCAATGTTGCAGCTGTAGTTTTTTTTGTTTTTTGAATATATCTAAACCACATAGTCAGCAAGGTCTTCCCTCCTTGATGTTTTCGCCGTATACTTTTCTTACCATGAATATTTTAATACCTATCGCCATAAAGCTAATATCAGTGGGGTTGGTACCGACTAGACAACTACTTTTGCAAATTACAAGATTACTCCTTGTTCCACAAGACCTTCTTTTGTCTATATTGTATGTCTTGAATAAAGACATCAATTCCCAATATATGTCCACACTGCAGAAGCAATATAAGTACAGTTCTAAAATAAGAATCTTCTCGTTTATCTTTCTTTATATCATATATCGGAAAACAATGTGCGTGATTGTGTGGTTTTTATCTTATTTTATATACACATATAAATCGATATGCTCTGTTATGTGTGCACTGCTGCCAGTAGATTCTCACTTAACAATATTTGATTTGCGGAAATTGCATATTTTCTGGTTAACAGTATTGTTTGTAGAATTTAAAGGAAATTGCCCAATTTGGCTGTGACTAAAATGAAGTACACGATTCGCGTGTAATGTAAACAAGAACCTACTCAGTCAGCAAGTCAGCACAGTCAGCACCACATTAAACCAATAAAACTATTTGCTTTTCAGGTACGAGTATATTCTACCTAAAATTATTTTGTTTGCTTGCATGCCGGCAGTGCGGTAAGAAATTGTTGTTTTCTTACTGCGCTTCAATTGTGAAAATTGATTTTTAAGTGTCACTTTCTGTATATTGAATGGCCTCCATAGCGGCATAAACCGCTAACTGGTCATGGCCAGTTTAAGCACTTACATATATAATCTATACAAAAGAAACAAGAGAAAATAATAATAGATACGAGCGAGTACCACAAGCGACATCTTCATTTTCCATTGTTGCTCAAATAGACAAATGCACAAAAGTGTATTATGGAGCATTCCACCTTATGCAATGGCTTATAAGTATTAGCTTTCCCTATTTAAATTGTCCACTGATTACTGATAATTAAGAATGGCGCTTAGAGGTCAATGCGCCAAGATTGTTCCGTTCCGTTCCGTTCAACGAGTCGAGCGCAAATTTAATAATTGTTTAACTATATTTGCTTTAGTAATTATATTTTAATTGCGGCTCATAATCACAATGCAGCCACAAGAATGTGTGTGCCAAACGCTGCAATAACTCATGAGCTCATAATCGCCGACCGACAACAATGGCTGTGGGGTCTGAGAAGTCTTGTTAAATGTTTCAATGAGCACTTCAAGTATTTTATCAACGCTGTGCCGCTTTTTTCGCAACCGCCCGTATGAGTTCAGTTTGAAAAATGTGCAAAAATCAATACTTTTACTTTTCGTTGAAAAATGTTCGATAGTCTTGAAAAGATTTAATATTATATGTCTTGTTTATTATTATGAAAAAATCCATTAAGTATTTTTAAATGTGTCGACAGGTCTGTGTTGAAACTTGTAAACAGAAATATCTTAAAATCGGATTAAAATGATACTCTTGGGCTTTTAAGAAATTGTTTTTCAAACTGTAAAATCACAACATCATATATGCCCGTAAATTAATCTGTTATTTATATGACTTCAATTTGAATGATTCTTTTTTTTTTACTCATAGTTAGGTGTGATGCATATTCATGACAAATTACAAACTGTACTGTAGTACTGTCGCAACAACGTTAGTTGTTGTTGTTGTAACCCGCTGGGACCTATAACCAGATGACATAAAAAGATATACAAGACGACTACATGGGTGGGGAAGTGAATGGGTAGTGGTTAGAGGGGTGATGAATGGGGGAATGGGGATAACTGGTGGATTGGGTGAGTGGGATTCAACATAAAAAGGAAGATGACCGGGGCTTGCTTTTTAGTGGTTAAAACACATATAAATGACATATGCCAATAAACGCATACCTGCTTGTTAAGTCCTTTTGGACAAAAGTCAAATACATTAGATCATATTTAGCATTGTATATGAACCAGAAGCGGTGGAGCTGGGATATTATGCCTTTTTTGTCGCTCATTTGCACTGAGTCCTATTATTAACAACATAGATCAAACTTAAGATTACTAATATTACTAATAATAATTACTAATAAAAATTATCATTTGAAAAACGCGCTTAAAAAATATTTAGACAATATTACTTTGTAAGTTGGTAGCACGGTACACTACACTATGCGAGCATACCTGCTGCTTTATCGTTCTTGTTTAAAGGGGCTGAACGGCTTTTGGTCATCTGTGCAGATGGGTAATTCCGGGACGTAGAACTGCACGCTTTTGACATCTTTGCTACATAGATGATGGGCATTCAAATGGCGCTACAATAAAAAGAAGCCTCCCATCTCGGTGCCTATTTTGATCCCTTTTTTTCGTACCATAAATACATCGACTCTGAAAATTACATTAGCTAGAACAACTATATGCAAAGGCTTTCGGTCTTTCATTCTAAGGCAAATACGCTTTTAGACCACGACAGTCTAACAGCAAAGTTCTCAACAGGCCCCTAACAGTTATTTCTGAAGCGGGTATACGTTTTCCTCCTATAATTTACTGTGCTTGTTCAATTGAGGCCAGAATATCATCGTCTGCTATGCAGCTATTTGTAGCGCATTTATACATCGGTTCGCTATCTGTGCTCCAACTGCAGTTCTACTCCACATGATGTAGCCCATCTGTTTTCTTGCTTAAATCCATACCCAAGTTTGAGCCCATTTGATATGTGACTCCACCACGTTGACTTGGGACAAGTACTGGTGTGGTTGCATTGAACTTGATGGGATTTATTTTAAAGGCGATAATTAAAATTTTGCTTAAAATGAGATTGTATACCGCTTAAAAACGTAGTTTGCATTTTAGTAAGTGACTTCAGAGGTCGGAACAAATTTATTATATGTCATAGTCTTTTTTAAATCATAATTTTTATTCTAAGTATATTTATGATTTAACATTTAAAAGAGACAAATTTTAATTAATTAACTTGATTAAAATTATTTTTCAGATAACACCATACTCCACATTACATTTCCGAGTATTGGATCATTCCAGTTTTCGTAAAGATGCTATGTTAGGTGAACGATCCATAAATCTTTCACATGTTCTGCAACATTACAATGGACGCTGTGAATTTCTTGAACTCAGTATGGATCTACTGTTAACATCAAAATCTGATAATAGACAAACTAAAAGTGGTGAACTGGTGGCAATATTAAATGGACTTAAATTAGATATGTCCAATATTGCAGTACAAAATGGCAATGGCTCAACAGTTTCTAGTAACACATCATTAGCATCAAATCCGACTAGTGATAATGTGAGTACCTCATCAGATGCAAGTCGAAGTTGTATGATTTATGGTGGGGTACGTGCTCGTATGAGATTGCGTAGCACAAGTAGTCAAAATGAAAGTACAGAAGCTATTAATTCTGGCCATTTAGGTGGATCTGCATCCAGTCGTTCACCTATTATAAATGGTAATGCAGAACGGAATACCACGATGGCTGCAGCCTCACCAACAGGTGCTATTCGTCGTGCCACTGTGGGTGGTGTACCAGTTTGGGAGCAGCAAGCAGTTCCAGTACAACAGCAACAACAACACGCACAGCAACATCCTTATCCGCAGCAATCACAACCCCAGCCATATCCACAACAACCACAACAACAATCATTACACGTACAGCAAATAGTGGGTGCTAATTGCAATACGTCTAGACCAGCGACTCAAGTTTATGGCAATGGCACACAAATTCCTATGCAACAACCTATGTTAGATGGTAATATGATAACTGTTGTGGGCGAGCAAGGTATAGGAAGTAATGCACTACCAGTGTCTAATGTCGGAGATCCACAGTTACAAGTGAGATATTTTATAATTTTATTTGTTTTCAATGTTAAAATAATAATAAAAAAAAAAAAAAAAACTAATTCAATTCTTTCCTAATTTATAGGCCGCGCAAGTAGATGATGAACCTTTACCTGCCGGTTGGGAAATACGCTTTGATCAGTATGGTCGTCGTTACTATGTCGATCATAATACTCGTTCAACGTATTGGGAGAAACCAACTCCCTTGCCACATGGTTGGGAAATACGAAAAGATCCACGTGGTCGTGTATATTACGTTGATCACAATACACGTACCACCACTTGGCAGCGTCCAAACAGTGAACGTTTGATGCATTTTCAACATTGGCAAGGTCAACGTGCGCATGTTGTCGCACAAGGTAATCAACGTTTTCTATATTCACAACAACAACAACAGCCAACAGCTGTAACTGCTACTGTAACACAAGATGATGAAGATCAATTGGGCCCATTACCTGATGGTTGGGAAAAGAAAGTGCAATCCGATAATCGCGTTTACTTTGTTAATCACAAAAATCGTACTACACAGTGGGAAGATCCCAGAACACAAGGTATATAAAATTAAATTAATTAATGTAATTAATTAATTATTGTGTTTGTTTATTCTTATAGGTCAAGAGGTTAGTTTAATAAACGAAGGACCATTACCTCCAGGTTGGGAAATTCGCTATACATCGACGGGTGAAAGATTTTTCGTGGATCACAACACACGCCGCACTACCTTTGAAGATCCACGACCAGGTGCACCTAAAGGTGCTAAGGGTGTATATGGTGTACCACGCGCTTATGAACGTTCCTTCCGTTGGAAACTTTCACAGTTTCGTTATTTGTGCCAGAGTAATGCGTTGCCGTCACATATTAAAATAACAGTTACTCGTCAAACACTTTTTGAGGATTCATACCACCAAATTATGCGTTTGCCTGCCTATGAGCTGCGTCGACGTTTGTACATAATCTTTCGTGGTGAAGAGGGTCTCGATTACGGTGGTGTTTCGCGTGAATGGTTCTTTTTACTATCGCACGAGGTGCTGAACCCAATGTATTGTCTCTTCGAGTATGCAAACAAAAATAATTATAGTCTTCAAATTAATCCCGCCTCGTATGTTAACCCTGATCATTTACAATATTTCAAATTTATTGGTCGTTTTATTGCGATGGCCTTATATCATGGACGTTTCATATATTCTGGCTTTACAATGCCATTTTATAAGCGCATGCTTAACAAAAAGTTGACTATCAAAGATATTGAAACCATTGATCCTGAATTTTATAATTCACTTATTTGGGTACGTGACAATAACATTGATGAATGTGGACTGGAATTATGGTTTAGTGTAGATTTTGAAGTGTTAGGACAGATCATACATCATGAACTAAAAGAGAATGGTGAAAAAGAGCGAGTAACTGAGGAAAACAAAGAAGAATATATAAGCCTCATGACTGAATGGCGTATGACGAGGTACGTATTTTATCAAGGAATATACTGAATATATTTTATACATATATAATTGTTGGGTAATGTTGAGTTTATTTGTTGTTAGAATTATAAATGCTTTAGTATCACAAATTACATATAATATACATTTGACTTTGCGAAAATGATTTGATATCAAATCAATAATTTTTATAGTTTTATAACAGTAAAATAATAAACAATAACAATTATTTATTGAGGTAATTATTGTCACGTTTAAATGGGACTAAATATTGAAGGCTAAAATCTTTTTAGTGATTTCGAAACGTCACTTTAATATTAGTTGTGATTATCTACTGTTTCTTATTATGAAAACGCAGAAATTTGGTGAATGTATATGATGAGTATTTATAAATACATTTATGCGTTTCTGTCGATAAAAGCTATAGTTAACTCAGATAAGTCAGCGGTTAGGAAAATAGAGCGTTAGAGATGGAATTTTTTCTAAAAACAAATGTTTGGAAGATAATAGGTTAGGTTAGGTTAGGTAATATCGGTGATCGCAAGGGATTCATTTAGGCCTATAAGTCCATTGTGTTACCTTATAATTAAAAATTCAAGAGTTAGAATCCCTTAGAACCTTTGGCAAAGCTTATAATCTTATTCAGATGGAAGCCTTGCAGTTCTTCAAGCTTCTTAAAAAAGAGAGCCCCTAAAATAATAAAGTGGTGGCACGCACGTGGAGGACAGAAGCAAAGTAAATAGAAGGTACTGTTATCGTCCTCTTCATATCTGGGGCAGATATGGTTAAAAGTGAAATTCAGTCTCTTAACATGGTTACCTAACATACAATGACCTGTAAGTAAACCTACTACAAGACTGATATCTCTATGGGGCATTTCAATAAGACAGTCTGATTTTCTTTTATTGAGTCATGACCAATTGTATACAGGTGCCTGCATATCGTTGAGTCTTTCCATCTCTAGTTAAATATAATTAGTTATTATTCAATAAACAGTGTTATTATTAGTTATTAAAATAAACAGTGTTCCCTAATACAGGTCACTACAGGAGGCATTATGGTATATCAGAAATGAGAAAATTCAGAAAGAAATCCACGTATCTATGGAGTTATAAGAAACTAGAATTAATGTTAGCAATTTTTTAGCAGCCAGAATAGATGTAGCTTTTACGAATAGATCTTGAGTGTCTGTCAAGATTTTATTTACATTTTTCTTTTATTACAGAGGAATTGAGCAGCAAACGAAAACATTCCTCGAGGGTTTTAATGAAGTTGTTCCGCTCGAATGGTTGAAATACTTTGATGAGCGCGAATTAGAATTAATATTATGTGGCATGCAGGATGTTGATGTCGACGATTGGCAACGCAACACTATTTATAGACACTATAATCGTAATTCTAAACAAGTTGTTTGGTTCTGGCAGGTAAATAATAATCTCTAGTATTTATATACTATTTATTTGTTGCACTTAATATTTTTTAAATTTTATTATTATTTCAGTTTGTACGTGATACAGATAACGAAAAACGTGCAAGACTATTACAGTTTGTTACTGGCACATGTCGTGTCCCTGTTGGTGGTTTTGCTGAGTTGATGGGCTCAAATGGACCGCAACGATTTTGCATCGAGAAAGTTGGCAAAGAAACGTGGTTGCCACGTTCACACACCTGCTTTAATCGTTTGGATCTGCCCCCATACAAAAGTTACGATCAGCTTGTAGAAAAACTTACGTTTGCCATCGAAGAGACTGAGGGTTTCTGCCAGGAATAAAGTTGGCCGACTCTATTTGCTTGGATGTGATAGACTTTCGGTTAATATATATTTATATAAAAAACTACGAAAGTTGGTTTCTTTGCGCTTATCAAAAAAACAAAAAAAGAAAATTAAAAGCAAATTATTAATTATTTTTTGTTAAATTATTATTTTTAAGTATATGCGCGGCTCAACTATAAAACAAATTTATTTAATATGTAAAAATTTATATATATATATATATATATTTGCTTATATATATGTATATATATATATATACTTTGTGTTTTTGTGCATTTAAAACTGCACAATAATTTTATGTAATTTTAAAAGACAAAAATAAGTATTTTATTTATAGAAAATTTGTTATAAATATCTTGCACAGCCTCTGCAAAGAAGTATATGTAATAAAACTGTTTGTTGTTTTCTTTTATATTTTATATTATTTAATAAAGCATACATACATAAATATATACATGAAAACTAAAAGAATTGTGTACACATATTTATTACAAGAGTTAATTTGTTATTTTGTCATATTATTTTTGTGATAGCAAGATAAGCTAAAACTGCAATGGCAAAATAAAAAAAATTATAGGAAATTAAATGTTTCTCTGTGAATATTTAGAAGATAGAATGAATGATATATGTAAATATTTTTGAAATTAATTTTGATGAAAGATTTTAAATAAAATACATTTAGGGTCAAATTATAATTATAACAAAAAAGCAAGATAATTCTAATTCAGTGCTTTTGTTAAGTATTTATATGAAAGTCTGTGGTCACCTGATGGCAAATAATTGCCTAAAGAACATAATGTTTTTTAAATTAAGTTTGTTATGTTAATTACAAATTTATAAATATTTCGTAAAAATTTACTTAAATTAAAATATTTCACATAGCAAACAAATATTATGTCTCGAAGGGGCTAATCTATTTATGTGTAACCGTAGTCAAATCAAACTAAGCAAAAAAGTAAGTTAAACTACTTAGGAAAATGTGTTTAAAATATGTTAAAAGTTATATATAAAATATAATAATCCAAATAAATAAAAAATGACTTTAAATTAAAGAGAAAATAGTTTATTTAAATGTTAATATAAAGCAACTAAATGAAACACCGTCAGAAACTTAGTACAGTAAGATAGTAAAGTATGAAATATATAACGAATACGAGGAGAAATATAATATCTGATTATTAGCACATTAACCAAGAAACAAATTAATATATCAATAATAAAAAAATAAACAGTTGTTGAAGTGGTTAAAAATGGCAAAAACAGTTTTAATTCAGTTGAAATGTAAATGTATGATGTGTTTCTAAAAGCATGAACTAACGAAGAAGGAATATGTATCTCAAGATATAGAATAAAATCGGAATCACTATAATAGTAGATAAACATTAAAAAATATCGTTGTTTTCTTATTTATTGAAAGTGAGACGTTAAAACCGATTCTGGTATTAACATCGCATTATTGTATATATTTATTTAAAGTAATACACATAATTACTTATAGTCGTGTATTTATTTGTTGTACATACACTATTACACAAAATATACTCAGAAAATTTTATCGAATATTTTAATTTTAAATCAAATAATTCTTTTTAGCTGATCATACAGGTGTTTCGAATGTCGCCAAAAATTGAAGTCTATTAGTTTTTAGCAGGCATGGAAAGGGGTGGGGCGGGTTAGCTAGAATCACCCAAAGTGAATCGAAGGACTATATTTATAGTTAGGTATATTCGTTATTAATACAACACGACTGTTAAGTAAGATAAAAATATTCAGGGAGCACACGCCTAAAGTAAATTTCTGGCTAAAGCTTGCGTCTTTGAAAACATCTATAAATTTATATGTTTGTGTATAATTTTTAGACTTGAAGTCTTTGCAAATGAATTCTTTAAAATTTGAACCACGGCTTCTAGTATTTAAAAACAAAGCCAACATATATCTCATTATTATTATAATTATTAACATGTTTAGAAATAACATTTATGAATTGAGTCTAATCACAAGAGATCTCCAATTACTACGATCGCGCGGTATTGTTTTTAGCTTAGTTCTTAGTTCTTCTTCATGTTGTCTTCGGCTGACCGCGATTTCCCTGTGATCTTACCTGCGGATCCCACTCGAGTGCAGCATAAACAATTTTCGTGTTTGGCTTTGCGTTGGCTTGAGTATGCTCCAGCCATCCGTATTTCTTCTAAATTATTTCATAATCGATTGGCTATTGGTTATTCGTGTCATGAAGCGTTCATTGCTAATAGTTCATTGTCATATTCTTAAAATCTGACGCAGACATTTATTTACAAACGTTTACAACTTATGAGTGATAGCTGTAGTCATATAGCAAGAGTTAGATCCATACAGTAAAACAGATTTGCCGCAGGCGTTGAAAGTTTTGATTTTCGTTTTAAGATGGATACTAGAAGATTTCCAAACATTTTTATGATTGGAGAAAGCCTCCTTCACTTTACGCAGCCGTAATTAGCATTATTCAGATTTCAAATTTTTATGCTCTTTCTGATAATAACCAGAGAGGCATGTTATGCAAACAGTCAAAACACAACAGTAAAGTAAAGTAATATTTTTGGGTGTGAATTGCACAGAGAGCGCGTCACAGTGACTAAGTTTAATAGAGATTCTCACTAGCTCCTAAAATTAATTTTCGACATATGTTTCTTGGTAGCTTTTACTCATAATTCTTTCTAGAACAGCGTTTTTCTTTATGCTTTTGTGGAATTTTTTTTTTCAAACTAATCGACCCTACTAATGTATATATATATCTGCATCGTTTGAAGGTGTCTTATTATTTCTAAACTTTTGCGAAAATTGCACGCTTTTAATCTTTTAAAGATTAAAAATTAGAGTATATACTGACTTATAGCGTTAATCGTTACTATTATTGTTAAAAATGTCGTCATATCATGTCATATAAGTACACCGTATATAATCTATTATTAATAAAGAAAATATATAAATTATTAGATTTTATAATACTTTTTATTTCAACAAAAAATTTTAATCATCAATCAAATAATTATTTTTATATAATCCAACAATATCACTTAAAACCTTATATTATTACTATATATATTACTATAAGTAATTGAATTAATTTTTTTTGTTTAATTTTTTTTTCTTTCCTATACATAATTTGTTCAACAATATCACTTAAAACCTTATATTATTACTTAAAATTTTGTTATAAACATCTAAATTAAGTACTTCATATTTTCCTTTTGAAGAGTCATAATAATAAAGTTTATCACTAATTACATTTGGATCGAATCCATCCTTTTGTAGATCAACTTTTCGCAGCTTAAATGTGCCAGTTAGGTCGATTTTGGTTAAGAAACGCAAAAACTGTGGCCGTGCATATGCCGGCAGTACTGTTACCAAATTTTTGGAAAACATTTCCAAATCTATTTCTAATTCTGGATCATATATAGCAGCCATACCAGCACGTCCTTCGGTATTTGGTACTGAAACACCATAAACAATTGTATCCTTATAACCGGCAACATTGCTGACTTGAGCTTCAACTTCGCTCGTCGAAACATTTTCACCTTTCCAACGGAAAGTGTCACCAGTACGATCTTTAAAGAAGAGATAACCACGTTCATCGGCAATCAACAGATCACCTGATAAGAAAGCTCTATCGCCCTTTCGGAACACATCGTGTATAATCTTTTTAGCAGAAGCGCTTGAATCTACATAGCCCAAAAACTCACGAGATGGATTGCCTTTAATTATTTTACCAATAAAAACGCCAGGTTCATTGGGCTCACAAAGTTGACATAAACCATCTGGACCACGTATTGGCTCTCCGGTATCTTGATCAGCACGTAAAATTGATATGGGATAAATTCGTGGTAAAATCCGTGATATAAAGCCAATTGCACCAACTGTATTATCATTGTTCATGATGTTAGCGTTACCCTCAGTCGCACCATAGAATTCGCCTACTTTTGCTATATTGAAACGCTCTACGAACTGAGGCCAAATTTGTGGACGCAGACCGTTGCCGAATATAAGTCGAACTTTGTGCTTACGATCGTTGATTGTGGTAGGTGAAGCCAATATGTATCTTGCCATTTCACCTATATACTGTGCTACCTAGAGATGGACAAAATATTAATGAATTGTTAATACGAGTATATATAATTTTCTATTAAACTTACTGTACAATTGAACTTAACGCAATCGCTAAAGTAACCAGACGCTGAAAACTTTTTCCGAATGGCAACTGTTGAACCAAATATCATGGCTTGTCCCATGCTCATGACACCGCCAGCAGTATGATAAAGCGGCAAAGGCGTATAGAATGTATCATCATCCTTAAAACCCAACGTGTAATGTATGCCAGCTGCTATGAAGAGATAGCTAAATTGAAGTAGTGAAATAAAATTTGTTTATATTATGCACTTTCCATATAAATTTAGAAATTATATACCGTGAGTGTGAAATAACTGCAGCTTTTGGTAGGCCCGTTGTGCCTGACGTATATATATAGACTAGTTTATCATGATGATTAGCACGATCAGTGGATATTATTTTATCTTTAACAACTGTTTGTAGCAAATTGCTTAGATTCTTAGCTGATGATATCACAGTATTATTTGGTTTATCGTTCAGTTGGTACAACGATGTACTTGAGGAAATGTCTTTCTGTATGCTTTGTATAGCTTCTTGGTGTGCTTCACTATATATCAAAGCAGAGCAGTGGGCAACATTTATGCTATGTAGTAATGAGGCTCCACGCTGATTTGTATTTATTAGCGGTGTTATGATACCAATTTTGGATAGACCCAACCAAGTACCCACAAATTCAGCACGATTTTCACAAAGTAAGCCTACAACATCACCAACTTTATAACCATCATTGTGAAATACATTGGCTATTTGATTGGAAAACTCATTCAATTGACGGAATGTCCAAGCCTGTGAGTCACTTAATATAGCAATTTTATCTGGATGCTTCGCCACATGCTTTTGAAAGATATCCGATATGGTAAGATTCTTTTTTTCATATCTCTTAATTAGTATTAAAAGTTTTACGTAGGCCCATAGACCACTGAAAGCAGAAAATAAATTATTTAGACTGCATAGCGCAAATATAATAATATATTTACTATAGTTTCTATAAATTAGTAATTTAAATTAATTAACTAAAATAATAAATAAAAAAAAAACAATTTTGGTTTATTGTTAATAAATTATTTAAATTTTATTTACAATTATTATTGATTGATAATTAAAAAATAATTAATATTTATATGATCAATAATTTTTTGTTATTATTATTATAAAACAATTATTATAAATAATTTTGATTATACATATTTTAATCATGTACATATAAATATTTATTTTTTTAAATTTTTAAATATTTATAAAATTTATAGTACTAATTTTTGATATTTATGTGTAGATAATTTTTTTTTAATTTTTTTAATAGTTTATATTTAACACCTTTAAATTTAACTCTTAATTATAGTTAATTATTTTTTTAATTATATTTAATTATAGTACATATATTTATATTTGCGTTTGATTTTTATATTATGTTTACTATTTTAAATTTTGTAAATACTTCTTTGCTGGGGAGTCATTGCCCTCATGCTCCTACTGCGGTATCCACATAAGGGCAATATGGTTTCTTGATGCCAGAGAAGTTAAAAGCATTCCTAGACCAACTTTGATTAGAATAAAGAGTTTGCTAAAGATTTCAGAGCTTATTAGGTGTCCGAAAGAATGCATATTTTGTTAACTCGGGTGCCTGTGCATAGGTACTCTCTTGCACATGGACCTGTGACTGAAAAATAGAAACGGTCTAATTTTTGAATCTGATTTGACTGTCTGTTAGGATATTGATATATCTCTTTCGGTTGGTTTTTAATTTCAGAAAATACTTTTTTTTGGTGATTTTATTTATTTTATTTTTTAAAAAAATAGAGTCGACAGTGAAGCTAAAGGTGCTAATCAGGTTAACATATTGTGTAGTTGACCCTACTAAAGAATGTAATTGCTATTAAAAAAGAGTACAGTTCTTAAATGAGTAGAAATTTATATCTGATATTTGAAGTGTATCTGTATAGACTATATTAGTCTTTATTAAAGTGTAAAACATTATATAAATTTAATCACTTTACAGTTATATAAAAATAAAATGAAAAAATTTAGTTCCATATGCTTTCAAAAATTGGAATAAACCTTGACTCTCTCAAGTTATTAAATGGCATGGAATTTTATTCTAAAATTCTTCGCTATGAATTACTAAAAAAAACTTTGAAAAAAATTCTTAAAAGTTACAATGGCTTCTATACTTTTTTTTGGTAACCTTTAAAAATAATTCTGAAACCGCAATTCTACACGTAACAGTGTCAATTTTAGTACCTTTTTTTTTTTTTGGTATACAAGAGGTTGTTCTTGAAGCCAAAACTAGTTTCAATTAAATTTTCCACAAAAAAAAAAAATAAAATTTAATTATATATAAAAAAAAATAATTTTTCGAAAAGAGGCAAAACAAGATTTCTTAATTCTTCGATGCAAGATACAATCTCTTTGAAAATTCACTTGTCTTAGAATGGAAATTTACGAAATTTTTAGGTCAAAATTTTAATCGGTCAACTAAGACGCATAAGGTAATAACACAATTTCACTTTTAATGTTACTTTGAAGTTCATTTATTTAAGCCGACTCTTGTCATTTTTAAATCTTTATTTTCTATATTTTTTTTTTTTGTTATTTTTTCATTATTTATGTTGTTTACAGTAAGATAATTTGTATTTGTTAAGAGATTCGTTTCTAACAGATTTCAGATTGCTAATTTATTCACGGTTTGCTTCGTTAAAGTTAAAGTTAAAAATTATTATATATATACATACATTCAACCATATGAACGTACATGTTTTAATGAAATGATCTTGACCCTGCGTGCATGTGTTTGAGTAAATAAAAATGTGCGGAAATAAGCGAAAAATATATATTGTTTAAAAAATTTTAATAAATATTTATTTCTCAAATAATTGCAATGAGTAACGCAAAGGTGAAGTAAAGTTCTTAATAGTTACATGCAGTTTGAATTTGTTGGGTTGTATAATATATATGCGTATAATTGAATTTTCGTTTCTCCTTCAGTTATACAGTAATAATTACTATATGCTTGAAACTTAGACTCCATTTGGCAGACACTATCACCTGTTCACCTTTTGGCTAAGTTTTGTTAGAGACTTTCTGTCTAGTTTTAGCATCTTCAGTAGTATGACTATTCTACATTTCGTAACAAAATAATTAATTCATTATGGGCCTACTTATGCTATATTGCGAAGTATGGCTGTATTCTTTTTACAATTGATAGCTTATTTCGTCATGCCTTCTTTATAATCTTCAAAAATTTATTTGCTACAAATTATATATAACTTTTGAAAAGTACATTCATTTATAATTACATATTTGAAAATAAAAAATTTCATAATATGAAATGAACGCCACATTTCCTTCAAAAATGAAATATATATGTGCTTTGTTTATCATATATGTGTGATAACATAAAGACATGGAAACTGAAAATGTTGGAGAACTAAAGGCATGGCACCTAGAAAGGTTAGAGAACGCATAGCATGGAAACTTTTTAATTGTTTATTAAGAAATTAATTATTATTAAATTTGATTTTAATCTTCATGTGCCAGTAGTGACTATTTTTACTTTAATAAAAACTGTGGTATTCAATAGAGAGGTGTCAAAAAGAGGTGAACTACAACAAAAAAAAATTCTTTTTATATTATTTTAATTAATTGAATTTATGGCTGATCATACAGTTGTTTCGAGTATTGCTAAATACTCATCATCAATGGTTTTGGAATCATTTTTATAATTAAAAAATAATAGGTAATTAAAGACTATAACCACTAACGGTGTTCAGCGCAGAAATTATTAATTAAAATTAAGTAATTAAGTAAGTTTGATTTAATTTAGAAAAAATTAGAACATACCTATTCATTGTATAGAATAAAAAATCAAAAATGATTAAATTTATTATAAATTATGTTATAAATATTAATTATATTAAATTATATTATAATTATTAAAAATTATTAAATTTTCATAAATAGGAATAAACCCAAGCAGTTAATCGCATATATAATACAAAAGTAGTTCGATTTAGTGGTTCGTTACTTGATTCAGATTATTGATTCAGATTTTCGGTTCCGATTTTGCAAAGCTGCTTGTTCGGTTTATAGTTTGGTTTATAGTTCGGTCCATAGTTCGATTTATAGTTCGGTTCAACTATACACTGAAATCGGAAGTTTCAGTTTAAAATTAGTTCAGTTCGGAATCGTTTGATGACCGTTCAACCGTTTTTCATATGAAAAATTTGTATTTGGACTTTCTTTTGTATGATTTTAAAATCATACAATTAGTACAAATTTATTAAGTTGGTTTATGGGCTGCTGGGCTTATTTAACAGTAACACATAATTTGTGTAATTTTTAATAAATTATTTAAATAAATTAATTTATACAAAAAATCTTTTATTTATATAAAAATAATTCATTTTTTATATATTATATTTATACAAAAGACTATATACTTTCATTTAGTATGTTAATTATTGAGTATATAATTAAAATCGTAGTGGAAAGCAGCACATGTTTATTTATAAGACCCTTCAAACTATCACTTCATCATAACTGAACCGTATTAGATGCAATGTTTGGTTTTAAAATTTAGAATCTTAAAGAGGGATGAGTGGTAACAAAACAACAGGCCTATGTGGTACTTTGACAGTAGCGGAATATTTATCCCCATTAATACCAATCAACCAAAGCTGAACTAAATTTGTTTTTTTTTTTTATTAAGTAAAACCGATTATTTTCACAAACTCTCAGAATCACAAACACAAACTTTCACTTTTTAATCTACACTGTCTTCTTGGTAGGTACTTAGTTTAGTTGGAGTTTGTAATTAGCATCTCTCGCCGAGCATCTTTTTTAAGGCAATTACACTTGACGTGAGGTTAGAGGTTTGGGAAGATATAGTCAATGAACTCAACAACCGACACTTTAGGAGGAAAAAGAATTTTAAAATTAACTAGAAGGAAAAGATAATCAAAATTCATAAAATTAATAAATCAAATATTTACTACACATTCAGATAATTTTTTTTTCTTATATTATTTTAACAGTAAATATTTTGTTAATTTTTAAGTTAAACTTTATGCATATTTTTGGTTTGATGATTTCCGGTTTCTTATCATGGCACTACTTTTTAAAGGTCAACAACTTTTTGGCGGTTAAATAGTTGAAAAGATGAAGTATAAATAAAAGTCTTTTATGCATAAAAAAAAATTATTTGGTTTTTTTTAAGAAAATATTTTGTTTTTGTTTATTCACTTTAGTTAATGTTGATAGATTTTAACTGATTTTATATATTAAATATGATTAAAATAATATTTAATTATCTGTTTCTTTATTACGTATATAAGATTTAAATAATATGTATAGAAAGATAATTAGAAGAAAACCTTAAATAAGAGGAGATCATATATATAAACATATATTAATAATATATGAATTAATTTTCTTTAAAGCATTTAAAATAATATAGCACACTTTTATATATAATATATATTTATAAATGTATAGCAATTGATATAATTTTTGATTCAGAATGGGGTACACTGTTGCTGGATACTTGTCAGTACTTAAATATGAAATGTAATTATAAAATGATATATTCATTATTTATTTATTGTAATTTTGTAATATATATATTATTTTTTATTATATGATATATACATATTTTTTTTTTTTTTGAATTTTAGTTTTTTATAACACAGATTTCTTATTTCGATTGCAGTTCACTGATGCTGGAGACTTCGCAACACTTAAATTCGGACCATTATTAATGAATTATATTTTTTCTGATTATTTATTAGTATATATTAAATTATTGATTAATTTTTTATAATGAAAATTTCTGATTTTGATTGTAATTCACTGTTGCTGCAATACTTGTCAGCATTTAAAATCAAAATTATTATAGAATTAAATTTTTTGTACAAATTATATTTATGTTTTTTCATTTAATCTCTCTCATATTTTTTTTATTTTTACAATTTTAAATAGTTTTATTAATAATGCCTTACTTCCGGTTTTAAATTGGTACAATGAAAAACTAAAATTGCCGCCGTACTTCATTATCATTTATTATCTCTCTCTCCTAATTTATTTTTAAAAAATTTGATAATATTTATTTTTTATTTTAATATTAGGTTTTTAATATATTACTAATTCTATAGTAATTTTAAATATAAATAAATTTGACATGAAGAGAACTTATGTTTCTCATTTAATGATTTTGTTTGAAATATTAAATTTATTTTGTTTTAATTATTTTTTTATTTAATTAAGTTGAGTAATTATAATTAGTTTAAAATAAAATTAATTTATTTGAAAATTTTTGAAATTTTATTTTATGCTACTGTTGAAATGCTATTGAAACAAAATTAATTTTTTTTTAATTTAATCTATAAATTAATTTATACAGTTTTATAAAATTATGTTTGGACTTTAGAATAACTATTTTAATTACCAATCAACTCTTATCTTATTTTTTTAAGTTACTGCAATATGTCCCTTAATGCTTTTAAATAAATAATTTAATTAATTAATTAATTAATAAATAAATAAATAAACTCAATTTTTATTCAATTATTTAGATAAAACTTCTTCATAACAGTTCAGTAATACATTTTTATAGCACAGAAATAAAATAAATAATATTTAATATATTCTTTTATATATTAAAATTAAAACTTTTTCAAAAATTCAAAACAAAATAAAAATTCTCTATAATATAATTAACTAAAAAATAAAAAAAAAAAATAAACCGAAAAAATACTTGTTTCACTTACGTCAAATCCCGATTTGAGGTGACTGCAGCTATGTAAAACCAACGCCAGCCCGGTTTTGTTAGTAATACCACCACAAGGGCTATTAAGATAGCAGGCACAATCATCCAGGCCATATAGAACCACAAAAAAACACAAATTCCACTCACTAGACCAATATAAACCGCTGCTAACAAAACCTGATGAGCAACTGTTTTTTCTTCAGATGAGGTTTTCGGTTTTAGCCGTTGCTGCTGTTGATGTTGCTGTTGTTGTTGCTGTTGATGTTGTTGATGTTGTTGATGTTGATGTTGGTCGTGGTAAATATTATTGAGGTTGTTATTATAGCAAATAGCAGTATAGTTGTTAGTGTCTTGGAATTGTTTTGTATGGTTGAATTGTATTGGAGTTTCTGCAGAATTGTATGTGAGACATTCATTTTGGTTGTTGCTGGTGTTGATCTTATTTTCGATTTTGTCAATGTCAACAGCTGTGTTTTGCACGCCATCAATGTCGACTGTTGTATGGGCATTTGATGTGACGTCTTCGTCTGGTTTCTGGAACGTTGGATGCTGTTGGTTACAAAGAGAACAGTAACGTAAATATGGAACTTGTTTGGTATTTGATGGTGTTTCGGTAGCGGATTGCTTATTTAATAAAGTGCGCGAATATTTCTGATATTGACGTATAGCCAAGTGACGTCATAATATAAAACGCGGCGAACGTTTTAATAAGTAATTCTGCGTATTCCAACGAAATATAAAATTACGTATTAGCATATCTTAAGAGCGATTCTTTTTTTATTTCTGTGATATTTATGCAAAGTGCTTTTATTTTTTGCAAAAAATCACAAAATCTTTTTAACTTCACAGTTGACTGGTTTTTTTTCTTTTTGTTAAACTTTTACTTTTTTATTTTTGCTTTTATTAAAAAATTATAATCAATTTGTGGCTTTAGCAAAATAATTCATAGAAATCGTTTATATTGCTTTTCTTTTTAGTGCTTAGAGGTTTATAACTGATTGACTGACTGTCTGACTGACTGACTGACTGACCCACTGACTGTACAACGAATTTTTGCGATTATACAATTTCGAAATTATTGCGAAATAAATTTTTGCTGATTTATGTTTTTTATTCAATATTTTTGTTCATTTAAAAAACTTCTTTTCACTTCGCATTAAAACATTTTTATGATTTTTATTTTGTTTATTTGACTAAAAAAACAGCAGGGAACAGCAAATCTAACTTGTATATATTTTGACATTTGCTGATGAGCAGTAGTCAACCGTGAAAACCATCGAAAAGCTTTATGCAATTGTTTCAAAGCTTTAAATTCTGTATATTTAAGAAAAAATCGTTAAAAAAGCTTTCGCTGATAAAGAAAATGCAGGAAAAAGCATTTGTTTAATTGTTTCAAAGCTTTAAATTGGGTTGAAAATTTCTGTATAATCAATCAAGTTAAAAAAAGCTTTGGATGATAAAGAAAATGTAGGAAAATTATTAAGCTTTTCGTGTGCATCCAAAATTCGACGCATGTAATCAACCATCAGAAAGCTTTTAAAAATGAAAATTCTGTTAACTGTTGTGGAAAAACTTGTAAAGCTTTTAAAGTAAATTGCAAAGTCAGTTAACATAGCCAAAAGCTCAATTAAGTCAAAAGAATATGACAAGAAAATCTTAAAGCTCCTAAAATTAAGAACTCTCTTAATAATTTTTTAAATTACAATTTAATTATATTTAAGTATATATAAAAAGCCAATTAGCTATAATATTGCAACAATATTAAATTTATTATATTAGTGCTGTGGTTACTATAATTATTTATCTTTTTTTTTATAACTGACTTAAATCTTTTCTTTTCAAAAATTTTTTGAAATTTGAGATATGTTTTATTTTTAATTATTATTTTAATTTTTCTTTTGTATTTAATACAAAAAAATTTAATTTTTTCATATTATTTTAGTTTTGTTTTTATTTTTAATATAAAAAAAATAAAACTTTTCACATTATTTTAGTTTTTTTTTATATTTAAAAAAACAATATTTATATTTATAATATTTATACTTAATAATGTTATTTACTCTTTTAAAAGAACAAAAATTTTTTAAGATATAATGAATTAAAAAAAAAATTATTAATTAAAAAGGTTTCCAATAGAAATGAAAAGACAACTACACAAATTTTAGTTAATTTATTGAAATTTGAGTAACCATACTTGAAACTTAAGCATAAAAAGTTTGTGCAGCCTTGGCTCTACTTGTGTAAAATGAACTTTTTTTAATGTTAATTTTTTTTGTCCAAAGTGACGCGTCTTATAATGAAAAGAAACTATTAAAAAGTAAGAAAGGTTCGAATACTAATGTAAAGACAACAACACAAATTTTAGTTAATTTATTAAAGTTTAGCTGATCATATAACGCTGCCAAGTACTCGAATTGGGTCTCAGTTAAAATGAAATAAGGGGGCAGTAAACTGCTGACAGAGTTAAAATTTTTCCTTTGTGTTTAAGGCATATTACTGAGGCTTGCATATAGTTATAGGTATATATACCTAGATAATTGTGTTTTTAACGCTTACGTACTAAAATTCCTGTGCCACCATAAAACCAAAACATATATCGTTGACAATTAAAAATAGTAAAAAAAGTTTTACTTTAATTTTCTATTATACATTGTATATAAATATTTATTTTTTATTATATTATTTATTATATTAATATAAATATATATAAATATATTTTAAAAATAGCTTGTTATAAGAATACATATAAAAACCAGAACCAGAATACATGTAAATGTATTATAAAGATGTGTACCTTAGGGACGGACAGACAAAAATATTTGTTTATATAATAAAATATTATAATTATATATGTAAAATGTATACCAAATGACCAAATACTAATTATTTTTAATTTAATGTTTAATTTATGATTAATCTATGTAATTTAATTTAATTTATAAAAATAAGATAATAAAAATATATATTATAAGTAAAGTATATTTGTAATTTGCTTGTTAATTTTATATTATCATAAGGATGTTAATCATATAAATATTAATATAAAATATTAATATTCAGTTCAATAAAAACTGAAATTAGCGTCTTATTTTTATTTTCACTTATTAATTATTTCTTACTACTAACTTGGCTATCCGACGTTGCTTTAAAAAATCACTATACATACATTGAAATTGTACAACTTGGTCGTATGCGCAATAACTTTTAAATAATTGCCTTGGCCTAGACTTGCAAATTTCACTGAATAACTCTATGTTCCGGTCTATGCCAAGGACCAAGCTCTCAACATTTGTACCGATGTCCTTCTTTGGTAGAAATGACGGCTACAATTCCTGGAAGACCCTTTTAGAATAATATGAAGAACTGTTAGAAACTGAATGCACGCTCAAATAAAATAAATTGAACAAAGTAAACTAAGTAGTATTTAAATCAAGAATACATACATATATCAAAAAAATATCTTTAGAATACCAATTTACTGTAAGTGGAACATCTTCAAATAAGAGCCCTAAGGTAACGCAACGGACAAGTGAGCGATCTACATAGAGATCATCGCAGACTTGTACTTAAACTTACTTGTCTGACTGTTAAAAGGATCCTTTTATTTTTTTTCTTAAAGAAACAATTTTTACTATGATAAATCAAGTTTTGCAGTATTTGAGAATATTAACTTAAACATAAAAGTGAACATTTCTGTAACAAGAAGTGTTCCACATAAAGGAATGACTTAAACTTAACCATGTAAATAAAAGCGAAGTAGCGCTTTCTACAATCTGAAGCGGAGAAATAGTTCAACCAATATATATCAATAATCATCCAAAATTATGTGGAACAGATTGATATGATTAAAAAACAATATCGTTTTAAAAATGTTCTAAACTATTCTAAGACATGAAGTTTAATACAATTGAGTAGATTACTTTTACATTTACATTAAAAATCAAAATTTAATCAATTAATATCTTTTTTTTTATATTAAAATGACAGAAGTGATTGATTGCTTACGGCACAACTAATTTGGTTTTTATTTGAACATAAAGACACGTATTTCTTTTGATTGGTTGGTTTAAGTCGTTTTATACACATTCTGCGTATTTAAATAATATATTAATATTTGATTTATGATTTGATATTTATATATGAATCTAATATATAAGATTAGGTGAAAATTGATTTGATATCTACTATATAATAACTTGATATGTCTTTCTTATATTTTCAATATATAATAAAAAAATAACTGTTTTTTTCAAAGTCTTTAGATAAAAAAATATAATGAAAAAATTATTTTATTAATAATTATTAAGGATATATAAGTAAGAGACACTGATAAAAATATAAAATTAAACATAATAGAACATTTTACTTAAGTTTCAATTTTAATTTTTTTTGGTTTTTTTTAAGCAAAAATAAAATCAGCTGATTTGTCAGTATCATTTTACAACAGAAAGAATTAAAAAGGAATGTTCAGACATTCCTAACTTCCCAAGCAACAGTTTATAACCCTATGGTAATCCATCATATTTCGCAAAAAAACTAAAAAAATCTAAGCCGTTATATGTAAATATTTTTGCAGTCTATGAATTTTATGCATATAATTTTGGATACATTGGACTTTAATCAACACCCAAAATTTGAAATAATATGTTTCTTTTAACTCTTTCAGGTTTCAGCCGTTTTTATAAGATCAAACCCTGGTATATTGGGTGTACATACATATATTAATTTTTGGTGGTTTGGACTAAAATGGAAATAAATGTTATAATTAAACAAAACGATACATTTAGTTCATTCAATCAGAAATTAATATATAGTCTCCTTAAAATTGTACTTCAATTTGAATTTATAATTCCCAATTTTAATTATATGGCAATGCTTTTCATTGAATGACATGTTCATTGGAGTTTTTAGTTCCGTTATAATAGCAACGTGACAGTAAAAAACAATTCGAAAATCCAGAGTTAAATAATTTTTTGTGCTAAAATTAAAGATTAATTAAAATTAAATTATAAAAGTATTTAAACATAATGAGTCTAACTGATAAAATGAGTGCTAAAAGCGTGGAAGAAAGCCTCGTTCCAGAAAATTTGGATAACACTAAAGGTAATAACAGCAACGAGGAACAAAAATCCAATACTGAAACTAATGTGTGCTGTATTTGCTGTAAGGACATCACAATTTTTGCGATTGGTTCTTGTGATCATCCAATATGTTTTGAGTGTTTAACCCGACTGCGCGTTATATGCAAGGAAAGGACTTGTCCAGTGTGTAGATGCGATTTACTCAAAGTCATTTTTTGTAAATATAAGCTGCCCTTTCAACAACTCGAAGCCGATCGTGGTCCAAGTACAAGTTATGACCGGGAATATTGTATAAAATTTGTTGATGTTACCGTTAGAGAGGAGTACTTTCGTCTATTGGAACATCGCTGTCCAAAATGTAAATGTGGTGCATTCAGATGTTTCATAAGCCTTGAAAGTCATATGAATAGAATGCACAATCTTCACTTTTGTGAAATCTGTACGGAAAGCTTAAAATTATTCTCGTTT